AACTTTTTTTTTCTGTGCTTATTTCCATATTTTTTTAAAGTCAATTTATATTTTGTTAACTGCTTCTCAAAATATAAGTGTTTCTACTACATTTAGTGTCGCTTTTAAATTTAATGAGTATGCCACAAGCTTAACTGGCATAATCTTTAATGTTTTTGCTTTGTATTTAGTTTAAAATATAAGCTTACAGATGTGCATATGCTGCAGTATAAAAATGAAAAACTCATAAATAACCAGATACTCCTCCCAGAAATTTTTTTTCTCCTATTTCAAAAGGAGAAGTCCTTGGTTGAAAGATTTATGTAAGTAAAGGACGCTGGACAATTGTATCTGGGGACCTAGATGTCTCACATAAGGAGCCTCTACTTTTTGCTCTTGATATTTTTCCTTTCTGATATTCACTACAACCTAAAAACAAAGACAGGTATCTCAGATGTAGAGGTAATGTCACTTTACATGGATTTCTTTTAAAACAAGCTCTTGTCCATGTGTGAGATTACTTCTAAACACTGGGAACACTAGTACATACTATTTCATACGTGGAGTAAGATTGAAATTCTTTACCACTGGCCAACAGCTTCGGTCTGATCTGGCCTTGCTGATGTATCTCTGACCCTTTCCCTACCTCTAGCCATCCTGGCCTCCTTGTTTTCACAGGCATTTTTTTACTCTTCTGCTTCCCTGGCTGGCACCATCTGGTCCCCAGGCTTTGCATGGAAGGCTTCCTAATTTTATCCAGATCTCTGCTCTCATATGATTTCCGCAAGAGGTCATTTACGTTTACCTTGTGTAGACCAGCCACCTCCATCCTCCACGTACTTTTGTCAGTCACTCTTTCCTCTACCCGGCTTAAGTTTCTCCTATCACTTATCCTATAAATGAGGAGATTATGTGTTACCTCATTTCTTTACTTATTTATTGTGCTTTTCTCGCCAAGAATGTTAAGTTCCACAGGAGCAGGAACTTGGGCTACTTCATCATCATATCTCCTGTTGTCTAACCATGTCTGGCTTATGGTAGGCACTCAATAAATAGTCTAGAATTAATGAAATAATTTGAAGTGAAATTGAAAATGTATTCTATACTTAGCCTCTGAAACCAGAAGTGTCTTTACTGTGTACCCTGAGGACCCACTTTTTTATGAATATATATATTATAAATATATACACACACACACATATGTATGTATAGTTCACTTCTCAGTTTCTTTACTGTAAATGGGGAAATATTGATGGTACTTTAAATGAGATCTGGAGTCCATCCTGGTCATAGTAACCACTTGCTAAACGATAGCTGCTATTATTATTATTATTATTATTATTATT